ATCACCTTGGCTGGGTTGTGATTAGGGGAGCAATCTTCAAACTCCCCTCCTCCAGTCATAAGCAGAGCCAGTATCCTCCTGTTAAGCCTGTAATGCCTGTACTTGCAAAATCCAGTTCCAAAGGCTGGTGTCTTTACTGAAGCGTGCTTGAAGCAGCAGTGTGTGGTCCACACTGCGCATGGAAAGGAACTTTCAGCCACGTATGGATCTCTGCTGGACCGAGCCAGGCTTTGCTTCTAAGCCAGCTGGGTGGTTGGATAAGAGAGCAGGACCTTCCACGCTGCCAAACACTGCTTTTGCATATGATCCAGCAGCGTGGTCAGGAGAATTCAAGACATCACTTGCCTAAACTTTGGGAGAGCTCAGAGTAGTGTTGCACTTGCTTTAAATATATACTTACAGACAAAGAGAGCAGGTTTGCAGCTTTGTTTCAAATTATGGCAGCAATCTCCTTTTCAACTAAGTGTGTCATTAAAGTTGCCCTAAAAGTTAATGGAATGTAGGATAAGTCACTAAGCTCTGGAGTGAATTGCAGTCCTTAGTGTGCAGTTCTGGGGACTGTGGTATTTTGAGAGGAATTTCCAGTGCTAGCCATAATGAGTCAGTCAGAAATCTTTTTGAGATTAGTTGATCCCATAAGATACAGTAAAAATCATTATGATCCCAAACCGGTTAGGAATTGGTTTTCAGAGGGGCTTTCCTGGACATTCTATCAAGGAATTCTATCTATACATTGCTACTGAGGAGTTCCAGCTCCCCCCTCTTCACTGGGAACAGTGATAAATACAACTCTACAGCATAGCTCCCTTTCCAAGCTGTGCCTTAGGGCAGACAAAACTTCACCTTGACACAGATGGATGCTTTTGCTTTAAGCCTGATTGAAAGCCCTCAGCAGAAACCCAGCCACATTACCATTGCAGGAACACACAAATGAGTTACTGAGGGAAGCAATTTACTGCTGCCCAATTCCTCTAGAGCTGTCCATTGGCAGGATCCTGCCCTGCAACTCCTAAGATGTAGCTGGCCATCTTCTGCAGGGGAAAAATGACTGGAGGAGAAGTGTTAGGGAGCAGAGCTCAGAGAGACAACTGGGAGTCACTCATCCTATCTTTGTGCCTTGTTTCTTTTCAAGGACAGAGCATTAATGAGGCACTGCCCTGAAACATGTAAGGAAGCTGAAAAGGGGAAAAATGAGCTTTCACTCAACATCAAATTAATATGACAAGAACAGAATTAATCAAGATACCCACAAAACCAAAAAGAAGAAATTCTGTAGTCATCCATACATCAATATTAGAAGCTTGCATAATAGACAAGAAGAGCCTGAATTGCTCATTTGGGAGCATATTTTGACCTCATTGTTATTATTGAAACCTGCTGGGAAGATCCAATTGATTGGAATATTAAAATTAATGCCTACAACCTATGTAGGAACAATCAAATGTAGGGGAGAAAAGAGAAGGGAGAGGCAACATGTCAAGGGATATATTGCCATTTGAAGATGTTTACACCAGAGAAACATGCTATCAAATATTAATGGGTTAACATATTTTAACAGGATACAGGTGTACAGGTCTGCTACCAATTCAGGCTGAAAAACAATATTCATCTATTCTGTTTTGGTGGGAAATAGTATTGTGTTTTCTTGAAGGACTTGTCTTGGTTCCAGCCAGGACAAGGTTCATTTTTGCAATAGCCAGGAAGTGGCATGGCCAGGACCCAGAAGTTATTCTACACCACCTCACATCATCTCTGGGGGCAGGGGAAGGAGAGTTTTTTCCAGAAGGAATCGCTCTTTTCTGGTAGGGGCAGCATGGCTGCAGTCGATTTAGGTGCTGCAGTGAGCATTTTATTATGTGAATCACTCTGTCTTCTGTACACTTTTGTTATTAATATCGTTGCTGTTACTGTTTGTTTTCTTATCTCATTGCTGTCTCCAGTAAATTGTTCTTGCCTTGACCTGTGGGTTTTAGTTTTTGTGCCTCCAATTTACCACACCATCCCACCACAGGGGCAAAGGGGAGGGGAGAGCAGAGCCAGAGAGCAGCACATGATTTGGAGATTCTTGCTGGGGACACTGAATGGGGTGTACCATTCCTAAACCACAACAACATTATATGCAGTGTCTAATGCTGTTACTGCTAAAACATAATGCAGCTAGTGAAAGATGCTTCTGAATATTGTTGGTGACTGATATACAGGAGGTCCAGCAAGTTCTAATCAAGGAAAAAACAATAGTAGCAATTTTTTAAAAACAAACGTAATTTTAAAAGGTAGAGAAAGCAATTTTAGGAAGGGGCAGGGGAGGAGGAGAGAGAGAGAGAGAGAATTTTACATCAAATAGTACATAGAAACAATGAACAAGTAGTTGTGGGCTATGATTCTGAAAATAAAATGGTGTTGGGACAATCACAGGGAGCATAACTTGAGCTGAAGAGGAAGGGTGTGTATGGTGCATGTGCTTGTGTATGTGTTACTTCTTTTGGTCCATTGCAAAATTGAAATAGTGCAGTAAAAGTGCTCAGTAAAGCACTCTGATTGCATTTGTAGTCAAGTCAGATAGTGTAAATGGGGTATGATGAAATATTTTCCATGCTAGTGGTACAATAGAAGGATATTAAGCATGTTGAAGAAGTATTTTGTAACCAGCAGGTTTTCCAGATTTGCACCTGAAAGCTTTAAAAATGGGTGGTAAAGAATTCTCTAGGTTGTTGATGACTTTTTGTCTCTTTTTCTTCAGTAGAATAATGCTAAATAATATAGAAATATTTTCAGAAAAGATAAATGTGATGACTGGGGGACAACAGCCTCTCATTCTGGCACCTATGAGAAGCACAGCAGTGAAATAGAAATTGTAAAAATTACAATTTTTAAAACTGATTTTTCCAAGAAAGTCATTTGTACAACAGAACATTTTATTTAAGAGTACCACCACAGAACCATAACCTTTCTCGGTGAAATGCTATCTTTAATCCCATACAAGTCTAAGTAACTAGAGAGCACAGCATCCACACAGTGCACATCTAACATGAAAAAATACTGCAAATCAATAGGTCATTAAATGTTAAGGAGTTGGTAGAAAATGATCGTGTTTCTAGAGACTGGTCTTGGCCTCGTGACCCCTTCCACTGGTGACCTGGGAGCGAATCAATCAGCACTGATTTGGTGTGGATGACAGAGAACAGGTCACTGAGCTAACAGGATGCATAAGCAGGAAGGATTTTAATGTCTGGGGACAGTTATCTGTAGTGAGTGCAGGACCTAGGTAATTTTTCCTTGATGTCAGGAAAACATCTCTCCTACAGGCTGTTGACCCTGAAAAGTATTCATTGGGGAATAAAGTAGATAATAAAGTAAATATGATTGTCAGTGCAGAAAAATGGTCAAAAAGTAATAAGGTTGTTGGATGTTTAAAGTGAAGAATGTCACGAATGGTATTTGGATTTGATGACAACTTTTCTGGAACAATATGTCCAGCTCTTGTACCCATACCTCCAGAAGGCGTCAACTTGCTGACAAAGGGCATCAAGGGTCATAAGAACAGAAAAAGAAGTGGAAATACCATGAATGAAAGCAGTGCCATTTGTTTAACTTATTCAAACCGTAGGGGATCATTTATTAGCATGGAAAAGTGAAATCTGACACTAAAGGGCACTTTAAAATGCCAAATGTAGGCATAGGAATGTGGCACCTGGAAAGAAGGAGAAATCAAATAAGATGTGCATTTGTGAAGATAAAAGCAGATGACCTCTACTGCAACTTGATAAGAGTGGTGATAGAATTTCTACAGCAGGAATTTTGTTTGATAGGTATTAATCCCTGGAAAATGCACAGCATGCTTTAGACAGAAGGCAGTTAGCTTGCAGGTCTCACCTGCACTATTCTTTGTGGAAACACAGCTCCACAGGTCAGAGGGAGTGATTCCAAGATCCAGGGAAATTAGGAAGAGCTGTTGTGGATTTCTTTTTCCTGTTTGTATTTAAAGAATGTAAATTCAGCTGTTTCATTGGTGGTGTTTGATTTACTGTTGCTACAGCACATAAAGCTGCTATGAGGAAAGGAATGGAATCACTTTGATCTGCGTCCATCCGGCAGCCTGGTGCAGTCAGCTGTGCACCCCCACGATACTCTGATACTTTGAGTGGATCTCGACTCCCTCTGCAGATTTCTGTGGTTCTTTTCCTTCCTTTCAAATACCTACCTCTCCTTCATCACTTTGTTAAAAATCAAACATAGAAGTGGCTAATGGTAGTGAAACAGTAAGAGTATAATTTATTTCTATTTTATGTGGTGAAGTAAATTTTCTCTTACTTGGTGAAGACTTCTGATGTCCATGTCAACAGTAAAATTATTGTAGATGTTTTTTAGGATCAGAATATTTGAGATATTGATTTTACTTTTTAAGATACATGGCATTTCTACCAGATTCTTGTTAGGATGACCTTTTTATTTTATTCCTATGGAGCTAAACAAAGTAGTCTGGAACATATACCACAGCATATTTGACATATGAGCACAATCTAATCTCAGTCAGGAATCAAAAAGGAGAAAAAATGCAAGCAGTAACCTTGCGTAAGGATATATGTAATTAAAACTGTCACAGAAAATAGCATTTAAATCCCCAGTACCTAATATTCAAGGACATCTAAAGGGACAGGGTTTATACATTATCAGTGGCAATTAAGAGTAAATGTGACTGGGATACATGTCAATGCCAGTTATGTGCCTGGTGAAGCGGGAATAAATAAAAATGACTGAAATAAGAATAAAGGAAGAGCCAATCAATGAAGCAATAGTGATTCCAGGGATGCTTTTCTATCACTGGTACAGTTCTACCAAACTCCAATTGACTGACTTTCAAAAAGGGAGCACTATTAAGGTTAATAGCTTCAGAATACGACAGCTTTATGTTGACAGTATTCCTGAAAGCAAATGGATTTGGTAAGCAAAAACCGAGCTTAATTTGAAAGTCATGCTTTCTGTTATTGTTTTTTTTTCAGAGTATGAAGGATCTGGGACAGAAGTTCAGAGAAAACACTCGAAATGTGGAGTTTGCAAATACAGGGCTGAGTGTGATGAAGATGCAGAGAATGTCGGGTATGTAATGTTTTCCCTAACAATATCACTGAACAAAAGGGAAAAAATGTTAAAGGTACACGATTATCTGCTTGACTATGTTTGTTCTTACTAACTGAAGCTTTAGTGCCATTCAGTAATAATGTGTATGATATGTGTCTGTAAAAGAACAAACCATCTGCGGTTGCAAAGTAGTGGGAGAAAACAACAGAGTTGTAGTGGAAAATCTTTAGCTAATATTTTTCAAACAAAGAGCCTTGATTTGTTTTATCCTGCCAACAAAACAACTCAGAAACCAAACAGGAATGCAAAATAAATACTGATTACTCAACCCTGATATTTTTTCTCTATGTTCTCCTTGTTCATAAAGTGTTATATGCAGTTATTTCCATCAGTGCTAAACTTGGACCTAAAGGTGAAGTTGAACTGGAGACTTGAGCCAGTCACATCTTCCAAACTCACTGTGGCATTTGATCTCTTAGATGCACCCAGGGAGAAATTAATGAAAAGTATTAATTATTGTCAATTAAATTTCAAAACAAATTATCAAGAAACAAGAAGCTTTTAAAGACAATTCATAATGCAGGAGCAGATGCAGCCCTCGGGGTACTTGGTTATATTACACCCCAACTGTCCAGGATCTGTGGGGCTCTCAGAAAGGGCAGAGATATCATGAAGGAAAGGGCTTCTTCAGACAGCCCCATGAGGCTTTAAGGGGTTTTTAAAAGAAGTCCTGTCTGCTGATGGGGTTTTGCTTTCCAACAGCCTTTGTCCTAGCAGTGGCCACCAGTATGGAATGAGATTTACTGGGATTGGGCTGGTGGCAGGTACTGGGGTTGTGGCTACAGACACAGTGCATGAAGGTGTTTGAGAGACTTGCAAATGGTACATTTTTGTACCCACAGAGGGAACAGCATCCCAGAATAACAGTGCCTGAACATCACTAATCGGAGAAAACATCACTCTCCCTTTTCTTGTCTTCCAGCTGGAATCCATTTAATGTTGAAATATGTCTTAATTGCACAAGGTTTTATTACAGGATACCAGCATGAAGACATCTCAGGCAGTAAAGCAGCTTAGCACTAACATTCAAGATGTAGAATACAAGGGAAAGCAAATTGGTAATAGTGCTCGTGAATACTAGCATGATACTTCACAATTCATAAACTGCCATAGTACTGAAGCCAGCTTGCTCTTTCCCAGAGAGAGACAAATGAACTAGAGCTGTTTTTTGTAATACTAATAATTTTTTTGGAATATTGCCTTGGTCTGTTTCATTTATGACTGGAAAGATGGTATAGATTATATATATATATATATATATATATATATATATATATTTTTGCTATAGACTTGCAAATGGTACATTTTTGTACCCACAGAGGGAACAGCATCCCAGAATAACAGTGCCTGAACATCACTAATCGGAGAAAACATCACTCTCCCTTTTCTTGTCTTCCAGCTGGAATCCATTTAATGTTGAAATATGTCTTAATTGCACAAGGTTTTATTACAGGATACCAGCATGAAGACATCTCAGGCAGTAAAGCAGCTTAGCACTAACATTCAAGATGTAGAATACAAGGGAAAGCAAATTGGTAATAGTGCTCGTGAATACTAGCATGATACTTCACAATTCATAAACTGCCATAGTACTGAAGCCAGCTTGCTCTTTCCCAGAGAGAGACAAATGAACTAGAGCTGTTTTTTGTAATACTAATAATTTTTTGGAATATTGCCTTGGTCTGTTTCATTTATGACTGGAAAGATGGTATAGATTATATATATATATATATATATATATATATATGTTTGCTATATGCACTGAGATGTGCTTTTGGCTTTGGAAAATAAATCCTGAAGCATTCAACTTCAGTAAAAGCTTGCCTAGTCCTTCTGCACTTGTAGAGCTGGAATTCCTGCAGCTATATAGTATCTGTAAGAAAATTAGGATAAAGCTGAGGGGAGCAGAAAGCTTATTATCTACATCCTACTCATATAAAATGAATCCAGTTCCTGCTCCTTGACAACAGACAGAGAGTGCTCTTTTGCCTCTAAGATTTCTTTAATTAGTCCTCATTAAAAAAATAAGGGGAAACAAGGCTTTTTATGTAGAAAATGTGCAAAAGTTAGAAAATATTCCCATGTAAGTTATTTGCAATTTATTGGATAATATTTTTCAATTCTATACAGGAATTGAATATAATTTAATTTTTTTTCCCAGTGCCTTTAACCATTAAAACAGGTTTCAGTGGTATTCACTGTTTAGCTATAGATAAATCAGGGTCTGTTAACACAGATTGCCTTCACAAGGTTGGTTTTGACAAGCCACATAGCAAGTCACAAACTTGCTAAAGTAGAATGTTGGAATTGGCATAATTTTTCATAAAATCAAACCAGTTATTTACCTGGCAGAAACAAGATGGGATTGAAATCTTCTTTTGGGAAACTTTAGTAGAGCGCCCCTTATAATTGCTTTTAACATCTATCTATTTTTTATTCTCTTTACTGCTGTGTTTCAGTGTGGGTTTTGACACCATAAAATTATATGATGACATACAAAGTTATTGGCAACACAAATATCTTTCATTGTGTACAAACACTGCTAGTCAGAATTATTTCATTCAAATTTGCACTAGATTACAGACACTGTCACCCCTAATTGTATCAAATCACAAAACTCCCTAATTTCAGAAAATATTCTGGTTTGATTTTCCTTTTTAAGACATAAGAATGTCCACTGGAATTTTTTGGATAGTGTGGTAATGTCTTCTGAACCACAGAGGAAAAATACATTTAGTTCTATTGATGTAGGTTTATTAGGTCTGGACAGCCCTCACTTGCACCTTGTGGTGTTAAGACACTTAACAGAGTGATCCAGGTGATAACATAGAGCATTTAAAGAAAATTTGGCTCCATTATGATAACTGTATGAGTTAGCTGAGCTGTCCCCTAATGTTAAATAGATAATCTCAAGCCATATTTGTGATACAAACAGTAAAGGCACAGTTATGAATTTTTTCAACCTCTTTTCCAAGCTGTGCAATCTGAGACCTTACAAACACTGGCTCCTTCTTCTCCGACTGCTTTTGAGAAGCAAAGGAGTATCTGTATTCCTCATTTATCAATAAGGAAATTAATTTATGGGAAGAATGTTTAGTGAATTGGTGGGAAGGGTGCCACACATGCCACAGTATGTTGAGTGGTTGGTGGTAAATGAATTGGAATTAATGAGGAATCCCAGGATCTGCCAAGAGGCCAGCCTCAATGGCCTAGAGAACAGAATAGGCAAATTTTCTCCCAGTAATGGAAAAAAACAATTGCTAAAGACAATTTTATTCCCTGCAGAATGTGGTTTGTCTTTTGGGTCTGGAAAGCTGTGGGACCCTATGCAAAAAGTGGTGGCACCTGATGCTTTCAGTGAAAAGTGTAGAGGGATCCTTACAACAGAGAAGCAGAAGCAAGACCCTTGGTCACTTCCTGATTTTTAGAGTTGAACTTGCAGGTCCTTAGAGTTATCTAAGCAGCTCCTTTCTTCTCAGATGTGCACAGTTGTGAGGGGCAATAGACATAGGTCAAAGCAATGTAAATTTTGTGTTGTCATAATAGAAATGCTTCTACCACAAGTGTGGTTGGACACTCCAACACCATGTCTAGCATTTCCAGCCATGGAGATGGTCTGAACTTGATCAGACACAGCCTTGGGACCAACTTTGAGCAGGGGCTGGGACTAGGTGATTTCTATACATCTTTTATGCCTAAATTAATCCGTGAATCTGTGTAATTACCAAATCTTGGTGCATTTCAATAGCAAATTTAAAGAAGATCAGTAGTACAGAGCTACGATACACACCACATTACAAATTAGTGATGTTAATTTTTTGTTGCTCTTAAATTGTATTTTACCCTTTGAAAAAGTTACAGATTCTTAGTTTTCATGCTTGGTGTTAAAGCATTATGGCTATCTCTTGATCAAGAATTATACATATGCTTTTATTGCACTAGATCACACATAGTTTGAAGAAATCAGGCTTTGCACAGGGTTTTAGATTTGTATCTTCATTTTTTTTGACTTCACAGAAACATTATCTGTCTAAACCAAAAGTGGTAACAATGCACAGTAAACTGAATGCAAAAGTATAAACAACCTTATAATTTCCACTACCTCTATGAAAAATTTCAGTGTTGATTATAGGTGGAGTGGTTGGAACACAGAAATAAAGTCTGAGGAGAGGGTTGTCATAAACAGCCCACTTGGAAAATTTGTATTCAGCTACATGCAAATCAGTACATTATTTCTTTATCTAAACTCAGAAAGTAATCAGGTTGAGGAAGCATCACAGAAATATATTTCTCCATATTTTTCTTCTTTTTTCATACAACTTGTAAGTATTGTAAAGAGTTGTTAGTTTGTGATCAATCTTTTCAAGGACACAGACAACCACTTGTGGATGCACTAGTCTTAAATAGCATAAACACATAACATGTCATTTGCCTGAACAGTGATTTTCTGTAGGTCTGAGGTAACAGGATGCAAAGAACAGGATGGGTAGGGTGGGACTTCCTTCCTGTTGAGTGCCAAAACTGAAATAGATTGTATGTACAATGGGAAAAGCTGCTGCCTGACGCCATTCAGTCAGTGTCTGCCTTCCTCCTCTGACCATCAAATGTCTGTCTGGCCAAAAACTTGCTCCTCTTTGTTGAAAAGACAACATATTATGCATAGTGGTGCAAAATGTGTGCACAAGAGGTTGGTAGACTTATACTCTTGTGTGAGAAAGTGGCAAGAAGTCCACAAACATAGGTAGTATGAAGGTGGCTGGGTGTTTTCTGTTGGAATTTTGAACTAGAAATGCCTCCATGTTGAGAAGTGGACACAGAGCTGGCAGGACAAAGCTTGGGGCATCTAGAGCTGATGGGGTAAAATTCTGTAGGTCAGATCATAAACATACATGGTTTGCTCCTGACTTTTTCTTAGCACACACTGGAATTTTCAGTTCTAGTGACTGTTCATGGATAAA